ACTCTTCTCGTACTGAACACCTACACCTCAACCCTAGAACTCTAAACCCTAAACACTGTCTCAGTGGCACTCCTCTTGTGCATCGCTTTGGCCCAAACCCCGAGCTCTGCGCCTCTGCACCTCTCTGTCCAAAAATTGACATCGAAGGGGTTGGGGTGTAGGGCTTATAGACTTCAGAGTTCAGAGTTTGAAGTTTAGGGGCATTGGAAGGGGTTACAGTACTAGGATCAGGTGTGTAAAGTACAGAGTTCAGAGTTTCAGTCAGCCCTGACGGGTAGCCAAACAAAAGCACGTTGTTCATTCGCCGTAGGGATATCGTCGCCGATGGCCGAGGCCGTCGACGACTCTCATGGAGGTTGCCCCTAAAAGCCATACCCTAAATCCTGCACCCTAGACCCTAAACCCTAAAACCCTAAAAACCCGAAAACCCTAAACCCTAAACCCTAAAACCCTAAACTCTAAACCTTAAACCCCAAACCCTAACCCCAAACCCGAAATGGCATCCGGTGAAGCTGAGGGAGGGAAAAACAAGTTTAGGGTTTAGGGCTAGGGTTTAGGGTTTCGGGTTCAGGGTTTCACGTTTAGGGTTTAGGTTTTAGGGTTTAGGGCGTATCTCGGGTTTAGGGGTTTAGGGCTCAAGACTGCATTTAACAAAAACGACAGCCATGCTTGTGGCATGGACAAGGAGATGAAGCACCCCAACAAAGAAGCACCAGTGTGGACGCCTTAAACCCAAAACCCTAAACCAACCCTAACCCCTAAACCCTAAACCCTGAACCCCAAGCCCTAAACCTTAAACCCTTCCCCCCCAATGCTCCCAAACCCTGCCCGATGATGGAGCTGGCGCCGTGCCGCAAGGGCCGCCTGGCCTGTAGCGGGCCATGGGGGATTTCGCTGCTTAGGGATTTTGGTGATGCGAGTTAGTGCCATCAGGGAGGGCTTGGGGTGGAGTGGTCAAAGGATTAGGGGTCGGGCGTGGAGGTTTAGGCTTGGGGCTTAGATGTTCCCCCTTATACGAGCACTTATCTATACTACGGGGAACTATAATCTAGTATAAGGGGGAACATCCCCAAGTTTGGGGTTTAGAGGTTTGTTTCTAGGGGGGGGGGGGGGGGGGGGGGGGGTTAGAGGAGGCTTGTGGGAGCCGGAAATCTTGCAGGGCACCCTGGGGACTTTATGGGGTTTGGGGTTATAGGGTTTAGGGTTTACGGCGGGTTTAGGGTTTAGGGTTTAGGGTTTAGGTTTTAAGGTTTAGGGTTTAGGGTTTAGGAATCCTAAAACACTGGGGATTGGCCACACTTTCGGGAGGTTGACAGTACCACATTCAGGGAAACCCCCTCCTGACAATAAGTCGATCAAATAATCAGGGCCCTAAGACTACTACCACCCTTCTGAGGAAGAGCATGTTTTTTGCAAACAACGGGTGTTCTTGAGCAAGTACTAGAAGAGCGCATATATGTATTCGGTTTTAGGTAAGTCGCAAGGAGTAAACTGAGGATCGCGCCTGGAATATCATAGGGCTGGAAATCAGGAAGACAACACCGGATGCAACAGGGTTTACGGTTTAGGAAGACTTCGCCACGCCTGCATCATAGATAGATCAGCTCTTTCGTGCAGGTCCCTTCCCTTGGGGTTTAAGGTTGAGGTTTAGGGTTGATGGCTAATCGCAACACAAACTAGTTGTACATTGACAGGCGCCTTTTGTTTGCAGCGCTCTCTCACGCAAGAAAGGCAACAGATGAACAAGACAAAGCACCCGAATGGCCACGAAGAAAGCCACGAATAAAGAGTAAGACCAACTCTGCAACAAGCATTTGGCCATCACTCTTGATGTTAGCATCTGTTCCAGAAACTTGGAGGCGTTCAGGAGCCTGGTTCCTTTGATGCACCATTAAAAACAGCGTAGGACAGCCTGGCATCGCAGAGCGTTTTGCCATGTATTTATAAACCCTACACCCTAAACCCTAAACCTAAACCCTGAACCCTAAACCCTAAATTAAACCCTAACCCCAAACCCTAAACCCTAAACTTACTTTTGTTGGGGCATGAACCCGCATGGTTCCGATAGCGCCTCGCCAGCCACCGGCGCCCATCAGTTGCAGTGAAGTCAAGGCCCTCGTCTCCAAGCCCCTGCCAAGACCTCGGGGGGCACCCCTACCATTTAGGGTTAAGGTTTTAGGGTTTAGGGTGAGGGTTTGGGGTTGAGGGTCTAGGGTTTAGGTGTCAGCTTTCTTCTAACGCAGGGTTTAGGGGTTTAGGGGTTTAGGGGTTTAGGGGTTTAGGGGTTTAGGGGTTTAGGGGTTTAGGGGTTTAGCGGTTTAGGGGTTTAGGGGTTTAGGGGTTTAGGGGTTTGGGGGTTTAGTGGTTTAGGGGTTTAGGGGAGAAGATGATAGGCGCTTGACCCTGCCAGAAATTGGGGTGGCCGGGCCGCCTCACAATAAAAAAGGCCTCATAAGACCTAAGGGCGAAAGGATTCAAGGTCTGGTTAATAGTGCGTTTGTAATTGAACGAAGTGAGTGCACGAAACGTACGAAGTATATAAACGACATACCCGGGCAAATGGTATTCTCACTGAACATAAGCCCGGGATACATTAATATAAGAATTACAGTGAAGACGAACTCATTATGTTACAAGCGAATTTTGCGCGTGCATTTAATGTGTGAGTGAAATGAACGAAACAAGAATACGCGCAACTATTCTTACAACGAGTGCACGAAGTGTGAAAAATATCATACGCGCGTATGAACGAAACGAGAGAAAGCATCTAGTAACATAAAGCGATCTTGGGAACGGGGTCTTTCGTTCATTCGTGCACTAATTTCACGTATTTCGTTCATATATTCACTTCATTTGTAAACTCACCCGCAATCAGGCCGTGACCGCCAAATGCACAGCGGCAGAGCGCGATTCGCCACACTGCCACCAACCCCCTACTATCATCCCCTTTTACCGCAAACACCCCCTGACCGCAGGTGCAGCCGCTTCATTGGCCACATGGGCCTACATGAATCCTAAAAATCCTATTTGTGCAACTCACAGAACTGGTATTACTGCAGAAAAACAGAAACATTCGGGATATGGGTCGAACTTACAGGGTGTAGCGATTTCGAGGTGGTGGTGCAGGCAGGGGGCGGTACGCACATGCAGTCAGCATGTGGCAAGACCGGCAAGGCAACAACCCTCAACCTGCGCAAAAAAAACAACCCTGGGAGCCTAAAGCCTTTCACCCCCATAGGCCCATAACCAAAGCCTCCATCAGCTAAACCCTAAACCCTAAACCCTAAACCCTAAACCCTAAACACTGAACCCTAAACCCTAAACCCTAAACACTGAACCCTAAACCCTAAACCCTAATTAAACCCTAAACCCTAAACCCAATGTGCTAAGCAGGAGGCTGATGTAGTTCTCGAGACGGCTGTCGCGCAGGCTGCTGCCGATGACCCTCCTCGAAGGCGTCCTCGAGAGCTCCCACCTTGCAAGCGAAGTCCGCACAACACTCGAACGCCGGAAGCCCCTAAAGACAGAGAATCCTGAACGGAACAAGGGCTAAGCTCTAGGAGGGTTTAGGGTTTAGGGGCTAGGGGATATGCCCTACTACTGAGTGTAGCTGCGGTCCCTTGGACACCCGAAGCCCTGAACCGGCCGGAAATCCCAAAGAACAGGGCTTAGGGCTCGCAGCTCTAGGAATTAGGGTTTAGGGTTCAGGGTTTTGGGCACATGGGTTCCGAAGGTCAGGATTCTGAAGATCAGGGCCTAAACTCTAAACTCTAAACCCTAAACCCTAAATCGGAACTTTTGAGGTGTTTGCTTGGCACCCTAGCTCCAGAGGCTGGACGGAGCCGAGCACCCTGCTCAGCCCATCCCGTGCTCAGGGTTTCTTAGGGTTTAGGGTTTAGGGTTACGGCTTAGGGTTTAGGGTTTAGGGTTTAGGGTTTGGGGTTTAGGGTTTGGGGTTTAGGGTTTAGGGTTCAGGGCTTGGGGTTAGGGTTTAGGGTCTACAGGTGCTGTGAATGTTCGGGCTTTAGCGCTCCGACTTAGCTGAGAACTTACGGCTCAGACTTCGGGGCTGAGACTTTTCTACAAAAAAACCCGGCGGGGGGTTGGGTTCCCCGAAGGCCGAAACCCTGAACCGTGAACCCTAAACCCTAAACCCTAAACCCTAAACCCTAAACCCTAAACCCTAAACCCTAAACCCTAAACCCTAAACCCTAAACGGGGGTCTGCGAGGATTCCTGGCGGTGTTTAGGATTGGGGGAGGGGGGGGGGGGGGGGGGGGGGAAAGACGGCTTTCTTATAAGCCCCCTAAATGCCCTAATATGGTTATAAGTACAGTTTCTTAGTTAATAAGTACCCTGAACCTCCAAGTAGGGCTGTTGGGCTCGGAAACAGGATGGGCTATTTGGCCTTAGGAATCCCCATGAGCAACCCTACCAAGCGTCCTTTTGCTAACCCTAAACCCTAAACCCTAAACCCTAAACCCTAAACCCTAAACCCTAAACCCTAACCCTAAACCCTAAACCCTAAACCCTAAACCCTAAACCCCCCTAGGCGATTCAACCAGACCGAGGAGCAGCACGCGAAGTGCCGGGCGCTGTCGGCGACTGAGGGTTGCTGCAGCTGCCTTTGCACTGTGAAGATGTTGTTGGGTCTTCGGGTCTCAGGGTTTTAGGGTCTTAGGAGCTTAGGGTTTTAGGGCCTTAGGGTCTTAGGGTCTGAGGGTCTAAGGGTCTTAGGGTCTTAGGGTCTTAGGGTCTTAGGGTTTTAAGGTTTCAAGGTTTTAAGGTTTTAAGGTTCTAAGGCTTTGGGTTTGGGGTTGTGGGGGAGAGTTGGTGCTGGGGAAGACAGTTTTCACGCGAAACCGCGTGAAACACGGACCGGGGAGTCGGTTTTAGGCTTTCGCGTGCTTACCTAAGCCTTCGGACCCCACTTCGGGTGTAGGGCTTTAGGGTTTAGGGACAAGGCCATCAGTTTACCACACCTAGAGCATGAGAAACAGCGCCCGAAACCTTTGCGCGGCTCTACCCCCCTGTATCCTTTCCCCTTCTCCTAAACCCTAAACCCTAAACCCTAAACCCTAAACCCTAAACCCTAAACCCTAAACCCTAGACCCTTTAAAAAATGTTTACGTAGCATGGTCTGGGTGCCACTTGGCAGGTACTACTATGTTACATTTGGAACCCTCTGGGCCTCTGGGGGAAGCCCCTCCGATTTGATGTTTAGGGTCACCCTAAACCCAAACAAACCCTAAACCCTAAACCCTAAACCCGAAACCCTAAACCCTAAACCCATAACAATCATAATAACAATAATAATAATCATCATCCTAGTAATCACAATAATCATAATAATGAGAGTAATAATCATCATAATGATAATAACCATAGCAATAATAACAATAATAATCATCATCATCATAGTAATCACAATAATCATAGTAATGAGAATAATACTCATCATAATGATAATAACCATAGCAATACTAACAATAATAATAATACTGCTAAAAATACTATTTCTCATAATATTCGTACTAACTTGCGTTTGTTCTCGGCCTTGAACTTCGTGAACTCTGCCGACCCAAAACCCGTAAAAAAACCTGAGACCGGAAATCAATTTGTGACTTAGGGTTTGGGGGTTTAGGGTTTTGGGGGTTTAGGGTTTAGGGTTTAGGGTTTAGGGCTTAGGGCCTTGCATGTTTAGGGGCGTAAGGCTTGTGGATTCGGGGAGTTTAGGGAGCTAAGGGGTTCGGGCTACTACAAGCATCCCAAATCCCGAAACCATTAAAACCCTAAGCCCTAAAAATGCTTAAGAATTCCCCCCTCCCCCCCCCAAAAAAAAACAAACAATTCCATACATCTCTATATATATACACATTCTTCGATACAAGGGCGATAGAGTGATTATTATACTTCATTATTGATTTGTTTTTGAATTTTTTGTTTTGGGGGCGGGGGGGGGGGGGGGGGGGGGGCTCGTAAGCAACCAGTAGTATCAATCGCTAAACCCACGAACGCCGGACGCCTCCGAAAGGCAGCCGGCGAGAAGATCAGCCGCAGCCGCGACCTCTCATGTCTGGTTTAGGGTTTATAGGGTTTAGGGTTTAGGGTTTAGGGTTTAGGGTTTAGGGTTTAGGGTTTAGGGTTTAGGGTTTAGGGTTTAGGGTTTAGGGTTTAGGGTTTAGGGTTTAGGGTTTAGGGTTTAGAGTTTGTTGGGGTCGTTGGTTCGGGAGATGGGGTTCTTCGTAGGAAATGGGGGAAATGATGTACCCTCTACATCCCTTTTAGATTTTTTCCCTTTGAATGGATTCTACAGGGTACCCTCATTCCCCCATGTCCTACTAAGAACCAGGGGGGTGTTGGTTGAGGGCTTCTGGGGGCGTGTTTCGGCGAGCTTCGTTGAACATGGGATTTTGGTTTGGGGGCTTCGTGGTTTTCTTGCGCAAGGGGGGTCTTAGGAGCTTCGGGTCTTCAAACCCTAAACCCTAAACCCTAAACCCTAAACCCTAAACCCTAAACCCTAAACCCTAAACCCTAAACCCTAAACCCTAAACCCGATTCGAGGGCTTGGTGACTTCAAGTTTCGGAGTGACTTGACCAACTAAGTTCATGATACGCGTGTTTGGGGGTTTGGGATGCGCAGTCTGGCTGAAGGTTTAGGGTTTCGGGTTTAGGGTTTAGGGTTTAGGGTTTGGGGTTTGGGGTTTAGGGTTTAGGGGGTTTAGGGTTTAGCTTAGGGCTAACTGTTTAGTGTCTATAGGGGCTTTGCGTTAAGTCGGTTCGTTAAAGCCGCGGCACATACCCAGAGTGCCCTTTTTTGAACCCTAAACCCTGAACTCCCCACACACAGAGCAGGTAGGGCGGGTCCCCGCAACACAACCATCTCACCAAAAAACGGCCCCGACAAACCCTAAGCCCTAAACCCTAAACTCTAAACCCTAAACCCTAAACCCTCAAAAAGGAACAGCCCCCACCCAGCTTCAATCGAGAGCCGAGGGGCCCTACTCCGATCCTCAAGTCGAAGCACCTGCTCAGTCTGAAGGGGTATAGGGTTTATGGTTTAGGGTTCAGGGTTTAGGGTTTAGGGTTAGGGTTTAGGGGGGTTAGGTTCAGGGGGATAGGGTTTAGGGTTCTCCGAAAGTGTGGGGCATATTCGGCAAGGAAGGGTTTGCATTCTGCGTTGCCTGGGACTTGAGACAAAGTAGAGCTCGATATTGAAGTAGGGTATATATTTCTTGTACCCCGAAAAGGACACCAAATATGTACACTCACCAATATTAAAAAGGAACCTTATATACACTCACCAAAAACAGAAACATAAACCCTGCTTCATCTCGCTTCCTAAGCTGCCACCAGGAAGGCTGTGAAACGTCTTTTTGAAACCACGGCTCTTGCTGCACTGCACCCTAAACCCTAAACCCTAAACCCTAAACCCTAAACCCTAAACCCTATGACGCTTTTGCAACCCCACGGCTCTTGGGCCCAGCACGAAATCACAGCTCGCACTACGAACGAACTCAGCAAGAGGCGGGATAGACAGGATATAAGGAGGGAATGTAAACCCTAAATATACTAAATATAATTACACCTGAAATAGTCCTTTTTTTACTTAAGTAGATCCTAAACCCTAAACCCCAAACCCTAAACCCTAAACCCTAAATGACCCTTGAATAACCTCAAGGTCCCTCATCAGGGAACCTCCTTTAGTCCCTTGACAGTCATGGCATGGGAGGCTCCCGATGCCCTCAACCCTAAGCCCCAGGTGGTTTAGGGTTTAGGGTTTAGGGTTTAGGCTTTAGGGTTTAAATAGGGTTTCCGGTTTCGGGTTTGGAGTTTGGCATGTGAGCGCTTTATTGGTTTCGAGGCTGATGGTTTAGGGCTTAGGCTTAGGCTTGCAGGGGTCTCGGGTTACAGGGTTAGAGTGTTGTAGGGTTTAGGGTTAGAGTGTTATAGGGTTTGTTGGCTTGGGGCTCACTGTAGGTAGCAGCTGAGGAACTGGTGGGTGCCCGGTGTCGCGATCGCGGCCCAAACGGATATGTCATAACAAGACCGAAGCTAAACCCTTATCAGCCCTACACTCTAAAAACCCCAAAATCCCACCCTAAACCCTAAACCAGGCCCTAAACCCCAAACCCCAAACCCTAAACCCTAAACCCGAAACCCGAAACCCTAAACCCTAAACCCTAAACCCTAAACCCTAAACCAGCCCGGCCTTGGAAGCCTGTGCAGAGGCTGCCAGGGCCGGCGGAAAGGGCGTGAAGGGCCTGGGTTTAGGGTTTAGGGTTTAGGGTTTGGGGTTTGGGGTTTAGGGTTCGGGTTTCGGGTTTAGGGTTTAGGGTTTGGGGTTTAGGGTTTAGGGTTTAGGGTTTAACGTTTAGGGTTTATAGGGTTTAGGAGCTTCGGAGTTGTGGGCTTCAACTCAATGCAAGCGGGCTTTTAAGTTCCCCCTAACGCCCCACAGCCCGAATGCCCCGTCAGGTTTAGGGAGTTTAGGAGTCGATGCTCAAGTATTGCGTTTAGGGCTTCAACCACCAACGCCCTCAAACCTACAAGCCCAAGCCCTGAACCCAAAGACCCCTAAAACAGCTAGACCGAAGCCTTTCATATCCCAAACCCTCCTATTCAGGCTCTCCGGACTCAGCGAGAGTAAGCCGAAAAACCCTAAACCCCAACACCCCCCCCCCCCCCCCCCGTAAACTCCTCAATCGCAAACACAAACCGCCCAAACATAAACCCTAAACCCCCTACCTAGCAACCCCAAACCCTAAACCCCAGAAACCCCCAAGCCCTAAACCCTAACCCCCCCAAACCCCAAACCTCCAAACCTCCAAACCCCCCAAACCCCGAACCCTAAACTGCAGGTTTTAGGGTTTAGGGTTTAGGGTTTAGGGTTTAGGGTTTAGGGTTTAGGGTTGAGGGTGTAGAGTTTAGGGTTTAGGGTCAGCTCTTGTGGCGAAGTAGCTCTAAGGCTTCCAGCACCTGAGACTCCGGCTTGCTTCAGGCTCGCAAGGCTTTTCAAGGGGCTTGGAGGGCTTTTGAGTTGAGGTTTAGGGTTTAGGGTTTAGGGTGTGGGTTTTGGGTTTAGGGTTTAGGGCTTAGGGCTTAGGGCTTAGGGCTTAGGGTGTAGGGTGTAGGGCTTAGGGTTTCGGATTTAGGGTTTTGGGTGTCTGAAGGGGGTTTAGGGGATTGAGGGTCTGGGGTGTAGAGGGGTTGGGGCTTCTTAGACTTCAGGGGCTTTGGTGTTTAGGGTTTGGGGTTCAGGGGCTTTAGGATTTGGGTCCTAAGTAGGCTTAAGGGGCTTTAGGGTTTAGGGTTTTGGGTTTCGGGGCTTTAGGATTTGGGTTCCAAGGAGCCTAAGAATGGACATGGGGCACCAATGAGCACCCTTCGTGGTAGTCGGTATATGAAGTAGGGAATATTTCTTGTACCCCCGAAAGGACACCCGGTATATACACTCACCAATATTAGATTCTTAGAAAGGAACCTTAAATACACTCAACAATCACAGGAATATAAACCCTACTTCATATAGGGTCTTCCGGAGGCTTATAGAGCATAGGGGACGTCGGGTTTGTCGTGCTTGGTTATAATAGGGCTTAATTTCTTGGTTTTTCCGGGGTGAATGAGTTTCGTTTGGTTGTTCGGGCGGGCTCGTCAGCAGGTGTGGCAGCGTGCATGTTGACTCTGCGGCAGCCCTTCGCAACCTCGTGAACCTTGCAAGCTAAACCCTAAACCCTAAACCCTCAACCCTCAACCCTCAACCCCCCTGAACCCTCAACCCTACACAGTCTGGACGTTCGAGGGTTTGTTCAAGAACCCACCTAACGGGTTCTTTTTCGGGGGGGGGGGGGGGGGTTCCTGAGCCTACTTACTAATAGGTTGTTGGGAGGGGGGTAAGGGTGTATGAGGCGCACCCATATTTTGGGGAAATACCCAAGGAGCCCCCTAAACCCTGAACCCTAAACCCTAAACCCTAAGCCCTGAAGGTTCTCATAAATCTCAGTGGCCACCGTGGCCGCCCCCAGCCGCAGCCGCGGCCCGGGCAGAAGAGCCAGCGACCACTCCCACTCGCTCACGGCCTAAGTTTTTGGGGCTTGCCTCAACCCTAAACCCTAAACCCTAAACCCTAAACCGTTTAGGGTGTGTACAGCAGGGTTTCGGGTGAAAAGGCTACTCTGTGCAGTGCCAGGTTTCCCTGCACCACTTCAATGTCACCCGCCCCAAGCCCCCAAGCCGGAACTGTCCTGCTCAACTGTTCTTGGAATGATCCTGCTGGTTCCACCAAAAAGCCCAGACCCTAAACCCTGTAACATACCTTCCAAGATCAGGAGAGCCGTTGCTTCAGGGTGTGTGTTTTTGTTGTTTAAGGGTTGTTGAGGTTTTCTGTTCAGAAGCAAACCATTTTTAAACACGCTTGTCGAGGAGCTTGCACGGAACGCAGCACGGCTTCCAAAGCCAGGTCGTCCTGTGCAGGTTGTGACCTAAACCCTCAACTCTAAACCCCAAACCCTAAACCCTAAACCCTAAATACCAAGGGCTTTGCGGCTTTAGGGTTGAAGGCGTGAGGGATTTAGGGTTCAGCGTTGTCCCCGAATGGAACAGGCCATGTGTAGGGTGGCTTCGCTAGGGCTTAGGGTTTAATTAGGGTTTAGGGTTTAGGGTTTAGCGTTTAGGGTTTAGGGCCCGGGGTTTAGAGTCGGTTTAGAGCTTAGGCAACGGAAGCCGTCATAAAGGACTCATAAGGAGACCTCTAAACCCCCTCGCCTTGTACGAAATCCTAGGAGAAGGGGCACCATGGGGTCCTGGCTTGTAGGCGAAACCCTAAACCCTAAACCCTAAACCCTAAACCCTAAACCCTAAACCCTAAACCCTAAACCCTAAACCCTGAACCCTGAACCCTGAACCCTGAACCCTGAACCCTGAACCCTGAACACTGAACCCTTGCCTGCGCAAGCGCGTGCTCCGATCTCAGTCGGCCCAGCGCCCGCTGCCACAGCCAACCTCAGCTGCGGTGCAAACTTCTAAACAAGTTTAGGGTTTAGGATTTAGGGTTTAGGGCTAGGGTTTAGGGTTTAGGGTTTGGGGTTTGAGGGTTTGGGGTTTGGGGTTTGGGGTTTTGGGTAGGGTTTAGGCTGCGTAGGGTTTAAGGTAACCTCCACGTAACCATGAACCCTAAACAGCTTTAGGGCTTCCTCCTATACTAAAGCCCAGGCCACACCCTTCAAGACAGTCCGCGGTTCTGCGGAATAAAAGGAACCGGGTCACTAACAAAAACGCGGCACCTGTCCGCGAACAGGGTCTCTAGTCCCAACCAGGGAAGCTCCAACCCCCGTCTATACTCCCCTGAGAGCCTTAATTAAAATAATTTTCTTAATATCCTCTTGCGATTTATAAAAACAAAAATAGAAAAATAACTCCCAAGGGCGATATAGCCGTAAGCACGAACCCTCAAGCCCTATAGAGCCCTTCAACAACTCTAAACCGTAAACCCAGACCCTCCTAGACCTTATACAGGCCGGAGGTCTCTCTATCTGTTACCCTTGTACCTTGATATAGCCCCTAGATACCTCAATAAGAACCCCCTACAAAACAGAACCCTACTTAAAGAGACCACCAACCATTAACCTAGACCTTAAAGCCCTTACCCGACTCTCGCCCTACACCCAGCTATCCACCCCGAACAACACTTGCCTTAAATCCATTGGATCCTCGAGACTTCTACCAGCAAAAAAAGAAGAAATGCAACTTCCCAAAAAAAAACACTCTAAAACATCATTAACCCTGAACCCCCTAAACCCCAAACCCTAAACCCTCTATCCTAAGCCCTAAACCCTAAACCCCTCAACCCAAATCCTACACCATGAACGAATGCCCAAAAAAACCCTAAATCCAAAACCCAAAACCCTAAACCCCGTGAATGAATGCCCAACAACTCCTCACAGCGGCTCTTTCCGATTGCGGAGAGGGAAGTGCGGAGGAAGACCTTGCTTGGAGGGTTCATGGTACTTAATTAACACTTATAACTGTACTTAAAGGGAGGGTTTAGGGTTTAGGGTTTAGGGTTTAGGGTTTAGGGTTTAGGATACTGTACTTATAACCACATTAGGGCGCTTAAGGGGCGTATAAGTGGGATTTAAGTTCAGTTGATATTCGGTCAAGAAGTACCATTAACCTCCAGGTGGTCTTGTGTGGCCATCAAGGGGTGGCTCAGTTGTCCAGTATCCGAGGAGAACCGATGGGAGTATCTAGGGTTTAGGGGTTTAGGGAATTGGGGTTTACGGGGTTAGGGTTTAGGGGTTTAGGGTTTAGGGGTTTAGTGTTAGGGGTCGGGGGGTTGAAGGGGCCTAGGATAAAAGAGGGGGAGTCTACTACCCCAAAAAGGTTCGCGGTTACCTACCCTACTACTGACGTGGGATGTCTGCGGTTCAAAAAATCCCTGGCAAGCTCTGCAGCCCTTGCTTGGGGGGTGCCTGGTGCACGCTCTCTGTTGATGGGGAACATCCCCTTATACTAACAGCTCCTTAATAGGGATTCTACTAGGGGCTACTGCAATCCCGACTAAGGACTGTTAGTATAAGGGGGAACATCCCTGAACCCTAAACCCTAAATCCTAAACCTAAAACCCTGTTAGTATAGGGGGGGAACAGCCCAACAGGTCGCTCTCCTACTATGATCTAGAAAGGTTCCATAGGCTTAGCCCAAGGGATGAGCCGGCCGACTGCCTTCCTAAAGGGTTTAGGGTTGGGGTTTAGGGTTTAGGGTTTAGGGTTTAGGGTTTAGGGTTTAGGGTTTAGGGTTTAGGGTTTAGGGTTTAGGGTTTAGGGTTTAGGGTTTAGGGTTTAGGGTTTAGGGTTTGGGGTTTAGGGTTTAGCGTTTAGGGAAAATCAAAAGCCAAAGTACCTAATTTTCCTACAAACCCTAAGTCAGAGACCTGGGAGCCTACATCGTCAACCAAGCCGGCTTCAAAACCACTAAAATCATTAGGAAAGGCGTTTAGTAACTTGGGTTTGGCGTTTGGGGCGGCATCTCCCTCAAACCGGAACCCTCACTACGGGAAAGCTCTTCCGCAGGTTCGTACAAGTATCAGGAAAGCGGAGGCTTGCAAAGACCAAAAGTAATTTGTGGATTGAAGCCCTAAACCCACCTGAACCACCCCCTAACCCATAAACCATAAACCATAAACCCTAAACCCTAAACCCTAACCCCTAAGCCCCCCCCCCCCCCCCCCCAAAAAAAAAAAAAAAAAAGCAGGCCCCGGGCGAGGTCGGGCACCAGTGACCCCCTGCACGCGCCCCACAGGAGGGCCAAGGTGGCCTGCCACCTCGTTTGGGTTGTTAGGGAGGATCCAGGGGTTTAGGGTTCAGGGTTCAGGGTTCAGGGTTCAGGGTTTAGGGTTTAGGGTTTAGGGTTTGGTTGGGATGTTCCCCCTTATACCACCAGTCCTTAAGAGGGCTTATATATAGGGGGTACCAGAGAATCCCTATTGAGGACTGTTAGTATACAGGGGAACATCCCAAGCGTTTTAGGGCTTTGGGGGTTTTCGGGCTTTGGGGTTCTAAGGTTTGGGGATTTAGGGTTTACTTGGGGTGGCTAGGGCTGATAGGTCTGAAAAGCTTTCACTGTTCGGCCTTAGAGGGGTGTAGGGTTTAGGGTTTAGGGTTTAGGGTTTAGGGTTTAGGGTTTAGGGTTTGGGGTTTGGGGTTCGGCGTTTGGGGTTTGGAGCCAAGAACAGCCCTTGTTTCCCCTTGGCATTCCACATGGTGCACGAGTGAATCCCTATTTTTTGGGTAGAAGTAGCCATAATAGTAGCCCAGAACCCAAAAGCAGTATTACAGTATAGTACTCCCTAAACCCTAAACCCTAAACCCTAATAAACGGCCGGGCGTTTCCGGCACGGACTCGCCCCAATTCACTGGCCAAGGGCTTGGACTCTTGCTCCCATCTGAACAGCTAGGGTTTAGGGTTTAGGGTTTAGGGTTTAGGGTTTAGGGTTTAGGGTTTAGGGTTTAAGGTTTAGGGTTTAGGGTTTAAGGTTTAGGGTTTAGGGTTCAGGGTTCAGAGTTCAGGGTTCAAGGTTCAGGGTTTAGGGTTGGGATGCTCCCCCTTATACTAACATTCCTGAATCGGGATTCTACTAGGGGGTAGGATACTCCCTGTTTAAGGACTGCTAGTAGAAGGGGGAACATCCCAACCTCAAAGGCTGCACCCCAAACTAAGGCCAACGAACGCGCAAACCCTAAGCACCAACTCAAGCCCCAGAAACCCTCAAAACTTCACACACCCTCCCCAAATACCCTGCTGGAGATGTCCCTCACCCCCAAACCCTGTGCCCCTCAACCGCATTCAAGCCTTGGTACTCAGAAAATCTTCTTAAACTAGGCCATGCCCTAAACTTCGGACCCTACGCTCTCTAAATCCTATACTCTCTGCTAAACCCCAAACCCCATAAACTCTAAACCAGACACCCTAAACCCACATTAAAACCCTGTTCAAACCCTAGACCTAAAAACCCTTAAGAACCAAAAAACCTAAAAACCCTAAACACCCTAAACCCCAAGCCCTAAACCCTAAACCCAAAAAAACCCAAAAGCCCCAAACCCTAAATCCCAAAAGGCCCTAAGTCCAAAACCCCAAACCCTGACAACCTACAAACCCTAAACCAGAACCCTAAAAACCCTAAAAACCGTGAAAAAAAAAACAAAACAGTAAAAACCTAAAGCCCTAAAACCTAAAAACCCCAAACCCTAAACACCCAAAACCCAAAACCCAAAACCCCAGCCCGGATGCCTCGAGCCGTGGTCCCCGCCACCCGCCGCTGCGGCGACGGCCACGGCATCAAGACGAAGAGCCGAGGCGCCGGCCTGCGGTTTGGGGTTTGGAGTTTAGGGTTTAGGGCTAGGGTTTAGGGTTTGGGGTTTGGGGTTTAGGGTTTGGGGTTTAGGGTTTAGGGTTAGGGTTTAGGGAAACCAAGCCAGGAGCCTCCAGCAGCAATGCCGCGGCGTCCTCGCAAGGACGCGAGGAGAGCCAGCCAGCAAGGGTAAGTAAGGCCCGGTTAGTTGTTGAGGGTTTAGGGTTTAAGGTATTGGCTGGGCTATTCAGGACACACTGGCTGTCCGCTGCCCTGCCCTCCCCCACCCCCACCCCCACCCCAGCCGCCCCCAAGAAGAGCAGCCAGACACTTGCCCCCCAAAACAACTTGCAGAGTTTTTTAAGGTTCAGGGCGGGGTGGAGGGGATATGAGCTTTGGGCGTGGAGAGGTTTAGGGCCTGTTGGGTCGGTGGCCTGAGACGGAAGCTCCTAAATCGGGCAGCGCTTCTCTGGGTGCCGGAAGCCCGAGCTCACTTTGAAAAGGCAGATACCATACACACAGCCACCCAATAGATCATAATCTTGCAAAACCCTGGGCTTTGATTGGTTTTTCTCTCCGTTTAAGCACCCACACAGCCCTCCAATGGATCAGAATCTCGCAAAGCCGTGGGTTTTGATTGGTTTTTCGTTCCGTTTAAGCACCCACGCAGCCCCACAGCCCAATTTTCCTAAACCCTACACCCCAAACCCGACACACCAGGCTTTGTGTCTTAGGAAGCACGCAGCAAAATCCACGAGGTCCCAGAGTAATACGAAATAAAAGGATGTGGGTTGATTTATAGTGTTCGAACCCTGACTCCAGGAACCCTAAGCCCCACCTAAGTGACCCATACACCCTACGCCCTACCCAAACTACAATTTGCTTAAGAACCACCGATAAATAAATAAATCATCCTTGTATTGCCCTTAATTAATTTGCTTCTTTCTTTCTTTATATATATATATATGTATCTATCTATCTATATATATATATATATTTATTTATTTATTTGTATTTATTTATATTTATTTATACTTATTTATTTGTCTATATATATATATTCATTATTTTTATTGTTTTTATATTTATCTTTTTGTTGGGGGGGGATTCTTTAAGCAAATCGTAGTACATGAACCTTCCTGCCACTGCCGCGCAGTCGAGGCTGCAGCTGCCGCCGACGAAAACGTGTAGACATCCTCCAGGCTCTAGGCACAGGAGGGCTTAGGGTTTAGGGGTTTAGGGTTTAGGGTTTAGGGTGTAGGGTGTAGGGTTTAGTATTGGGGTTTAGGGTGGTTTGGGTTTAGTGGGCTCAGGGTTTGCGGGTTTAGGCATTCCCTAAATGCGACAAACCCAATGCAATCCGGGTGACGAGGCTTGAGACCCGTGGGGCATGGGATTTACTCGTAGTTGCGGTTTCGGGTTTAGGGTTTAAGGATTTAGGGTTTAGGGTTCCCTGAACCCCGAACTCGCAGCCCTGAATCCCAAACCCCACAGCCTAAACCCTCAACCCTACCGTAAACCCTAACCCTAAGCCCCGAAGGACACAAACCCTAAGCCCTAACTCCCATACGTGCCCCTCAAGCCCCCTGAAACATGTCTCAAACCAAGATTTAGGGTTTAGGGCTGCGGCTTAGGCTTCAAGGCTAACGGAAGACATAGCACATTCCAAGATCCTCCCTCGAAGCCCTCGACCCGGAACCCTGAACCCTCAACCCTGAACTCTAAACCCCTCACTCTAAACCCTAAACCCTAAACCCTGAACCCCAAACTCTAAACCCTGAACCCCTTCAACCTCAACCCAAACTCTGAACCCTACGCCCTAAACAAACCCTAGACCCTGGACCTACACCCTCAACTCTAAACCCCTAAACCCTAAACCCCAAACCCCAACCCTGAGCCCTAAGCCCTAAACCCTAAACCCTAAACCCTAAACCCTAAACCCTAAACCCTAAACCCTAAACCCTAAACCCCTAAACCCTAAACCCGCGCAAAAGACTCCTTGTCCCGATGCTTCGCTCTGCGGAACAGCGCCAGGGCTTGCGACGGACCTGGGGACTCGTGGGGCCATAAAAAAAGGCCCTAAGCCCTAAACCCTAAACCCTAAACCCTAAACCCTAAACCCTAAACCCTAAACCCTAAACCCTAAACCCTAGCCCTAAACCCCAAACCCTAAGCCCCAAGCCCTGAATGCTAAAGCCGAAAACCCGAAAACCCTGTCAGGGTGAGCTCCGAAGCCTACTTTAGTAGGTTTCCGAAGAGTCATTCATATGTACTCGGTCTAGGTCGGGTTTCGGGTTTAGGGCTTAGGAACCTCAAACAAGTAGGCTTAAGACCCCTGAGGTACTGCGTAGGGTAAACCCTAAACCCTAAACCCTAAACCCTGAACCCTAAACCCTAAACCCCTAAACCGAAAACCCTAAACCAAGAGCCACGGCTAGCGACGCCCTTTTTCCGGATAAATGTCGGCTCGCGAGACTCATCGCCAGGCAGTTCGAAAAACTCGAAACCCAAACACGACATCACCTAGAGCCTAGTGTGACTGCTGCTGTAAACCCTACACCCAAAACCCTAAACCCTGGGACTTCATAAGCCCAAGCCACAATATATTGGGGGGGGTTTAGCGTCTGGCTGAGTCTAGCCTTGTTGCATTTGTTGAGGGCTTTAGGGCTTTGGGTTTTAGGCTAGTGCTTTGTCGGGAGGCCCCAAACCCAAAGGCTTATAGGTTTAGGGTTGAGGGCTTACCCTGAGCCACTAAACCTGTCAGCCTGTAGACCCCTCAACTCTGCACCCCTTAAACAGAAGTTCGGGTTCAGGGTTTAGGGTTTAAGGTTTGGGGTCTGGGGTTTAGGAGGGTTTAGGGTTTCGGGTTTAGGGCTTAGGGCTTAGGGTTTAGGGCTAGGGCCCAAACTCTTAACCCGCGACTCGTCTGTAGATCCGACCGCTGGCTTGCAAGGCTGCTGATGGCAGATGGTCAACATCCAGGGTCACAAAAAGGGTTTGGGATCTAGGGTTTGTGTGTTTAGAGGTTTGCGGTTGGGGTTGAGGGTTTAAGGGGTTGAGGGTTTAGGGTTTAAGGGGTTTCGGGTTTAGGGTTTAGGGTTTAGGGTTTAGGGTTTAAGGTTTAGGGTTTAGGGTTTAGGGTTTGTCTGGTGGGCGCGCCCCTCGATATCCCATCGGCCGCAGCAACATCCCAAGCCACTACATCGACGCAAAAGGGCCTGCAGCAAAGCGCCCTCTGAGCGCATGCGGCCAGGCAAGTGATTATCACCTGCTCGGGGAAGGAAGCCGGCTCTTCAAGGGTTCAGGATGTAGGACTACATAGGATTTAGGGTTCCTATGGGTTGATGTTGAGAAGGTATCCAGGGTCGTGCACATGACTCGTCTACAGGGAAGCCTTCTTCTGAGTAGGCCCCTTCCTGAGTCCTGAGCGAATTTTCCGAGGAGACTACCATGTTTCATGGGGGTCGTACTCCACGTTTGCATTAGCCACGGACTGGGCGAGTCCGTTGTAGTCCTCCCAGGGGAGGTCCGGCTCGACTCCGATGTGGTCCTCCCATGGAAAAGAGGGCTCCAGCGTTGTGGCGCCCTCGGCCACATCCTTGGTCGTCTTTGCCAGGATAGGTCCCTAAACCCTAACCCTAAACCCCAAACCCTAAACCCTAAACCCTAGACCCTAAACCCTAAACCCTAAACCCTCAAACCCTAAACCCTAAACCCTAAACAGAATGAGTGACTGGGGGTTGCCGCGACACGTAGAAAATCAGAAAGCCCAGACCCTGCCAGCTTTTTATTCCAGTCACCACTTTGGGATGCTCCCCGTTCCCCCCTCCAACCCTAAACCCTAAACCCTAAACCCTAAACCCTAAACCCCAAACCCCAAACCCCAAACCCTAAACCCCAAACTCCAAACCCTAAACCCGACGAACCAAAGAAGCAACAAAACGAAGCCCGGGAAGCCAGTTGGATCTGGTCCAGATCCTCCGTGCCGCAGCTCCGCTGCTTCGGTACCATGCCTTGGCTGGCTCAGACTCTCGGGGGTTTAGGGTTTAGGGTTTAGGGTTTAGGGTTTAGGGTTTTAGGGCTCACACCCTTGAACTGCCCCGGACTTTCAGAGCTCTATAATGCGAGGCTCCTCTCTTTCTGGCCTCGGACTTATGACCCTAAGCCCTAAACCCTAAACCCTAAACCCTAAACCCTAAACCTTCAGGGTCTAGGACCGGCTGGGGTAGGGTTTAGGTTTCGGGGCTTCGCGGGTCTAAGGGGTCTGGGGGTCTAGGCGGGATACGTAGCCTGAACATTCGGGTTTCGGGTTTGGGGCTAGTGCTTAGGGTTTAGGACTTCGGGCTTCCCACACTGCTTCGAAGCTCAAGCACGCTTGCGCAAGACCTTCTTCTTCGCCTGCGCGGGTCAGAGTATCAATTTTTGGGTTGAGGGGTTGTGGAGCTTGAGGGTGTTGGGTCGAGGGTTTAGGGAATTTAGGGGTTTAGGGTTTGGCCATTGGGGGTTCGGGGATCTTTTGAGTTGGGCTTAGGGGGGCTTAGGCATACCGAGTTGGGCCCTAAACCCTAAACCCTAAACCCTACACCGTACAACCCTAAACCCTAAACCCTAACCCGCCCGAAACCGTCACAGTCTCCCCAGGGTGGTCCGCCATGATGCCACATGAATGAGCCCATGCCTTAAGCAGATCTGTATCAACCTCAGGTAGGGCCCGTAATCATCAGAACAGGGCTTCGAGGATTATAGCATCATTGTACCAGGGGCTATGAGGGACTTCTGTTAAACTTGTTTTTTTCAAAATTCCGGCTCCGTATATTCTTGGTTTGTAGCGGTATAGGTTTGAGGCTTAGGGCTATTCTAGGGGATTCGGCTGTTGATTGTAAAGAGCATGTATTTAGAAGAACCGTCACCCGGCAGAGGCCTCAACCGGTTTGGGGCCCAACGCGATTGGGGTCTAGGGTTTAGGGTTTGGGAGTCTTAGGGTTTAGGGTTTAGGGTTTAGGGTTTAGGGTTTAGGGTTTAGGGTTTAGGGTTTAGCGTTTAGGGTGTAGGGTTTAGGAGTCTTAGGGTTTTGGGTTTCTGGGTCTTGGGGCTTAGGGTTTATTCGTCTTAGGTTGTAGGGTTTAAGGCCTTAAGGGTCTTCCGGGTCGGGGCTTAGGACAGCAAAGCTCCAGATAAGAGGGCGAGAGGGAGAACAGCCAGCCCTACAAGTATGTAGGCCCGAGGGATTGTCAACCCCAAACCCGCAACCCCACGCTCGAAACCGCGCCCCCTGAACCTAAAGCCCTAAACCCTAAACCCTAACCCTAAACCCTAAACCCTAAACCCTAAACCCTAAACCCTGAACCCTAAACCCTAAACCCTAAACCCTAAACCCCACACCCTGAGCCCCTGAGCTCAAAAAGCGACTCAGGGCCTTCTTGGGCCCGGCTTCCGCGACGTCCGTCGCCACCGCGTTGTCAGGCGAGGAATTGGGTTCCTTCTAGGGGTTGGGGTTTAGGGTTTAGGGTTTAGGGTTTAGGGTTTAGGGTTTAGGGTTTAGGGTTTAGGGTTTAGGGTTTAGGGTTTAGGGTTTAGGGTTTAGGGTTTAGGGTTTAGGGTTTAGGGTTTAGGGGTTTAGGGTTTAGGGTTTAGGGTTTAGGGTTTAGGGTTTAGGGTTTAGGGTTTAGGGTTTAGGGTTTAGGGTTTAGGGTTTAGGGTTTAGGTTTAGGGTTTAGGGTTTAGGGTTTAGGGTTTAGGGTTTAGGGTTTAGGGTCCGCCGACCCTGGCGGCGTGTTGGATGGGAAAAGGAGGTGAAAACCCCCCCCCTCTTTCCCCTTACCCCCCCAAAACGCGGCGGGTAGGGGGGGGTCCCCGGGCAGCTTTTCCATGGAGGGCCAGGCCACCCACACGGCATAAACTCACGGACCATAGGCGGTTTCGCACAGGACATAGGGGCCCTTTGGGAAAAACCACCCCCCCCCCCCCCCCCCCCCCCCCCCCCCCCCCCCCCCCCCCCCCCCCCCCCCCCCCCCCCCCCCCCCCCCCCCCCCCCCCCCCACCAACTTTGGCATCCTTTGACCTGACGAACGCGTTTAAACCTTTCAACTATGCTCCAGCGGGGTCGGCGGCTTGAGCCGGAGGCTCTTAAATTTAGGGTTTAGGGTTTAGGGTTTAGGGTGACCCAGGAGTAACCTAGACATAAAAAGGGTGCCCTTTGTGGTTGAAAGGGGACAATACGGGAACCTAAGCCTTAAAAATGGGAATGAGGGCCGACTCGGGGTCCTAGACTCTGTACTTGTATATTCCATAGTCTAGTTTGGGGTTTGGGGTTTAGAGTTTTAGGGTCTAGGGCTTTTAGGGCTTGAGGTTTAGGGTCTAAAAGCCCTAAACCCTGAACCCTGCCAACACCCTAAGCGCACACCAAGCTGAGTCGACCCCTTCCACCATAGGTTCGGGGAGACGAAAAACGGGGCACCTTTTTTGTCTTACTCAAGAAAAGAAGGAAAAACGGTACACTACTGGGCGTCCTAGACCAAGACCCTAAGCCCTAAAACCTGAAAGCCCCAAAGTTAACTCCCTAAACCCTAAACCCTAAACCCTAAACCCTAAACCCCTAAACCCCTAAACCCTAAACCCTAAACCCCTAAACCCCTAAACCCTAAACCCTAAACTCGAGGCAGCCGCGGCTCATTCTTCACCCGATCCTTGGGGACCAGTCGACGAACTTTCTTCTTGCGCTTCCGGCGCGCTGGAGCCTGCTCCTGGGTTTAGGGTTTAGGGTTGATAGGGTTGTAGGGTTATAGGGTTTAGGGTTTGGGGTTTAGGGTTTAGGGTTCCCGCGCTTGCGGTTTCAGGGTGGGACTGGGGTTTAGCAAGTAAGCTATGGGAGTTGAGGAGTGAAAGGGTTTCGGGTGCTTGGGCGTGGAGTGAAGGGTTTAGGGCCTGGGCTTTGGGGTTTAAATAAGGACGGCTTAGGCGTCAAGCAGGCGGGGCTTCTACAGATTTTATGTGGGTTTAGGGTTCAGGGTTCAGGGCTTTTGTTGGGGGCACTTGGGGGGTGGGGGTT